AATTTCAAATAAATGAAATCTTCATTGCAAGTGTGTTTACCTTCTAAGGGATGAATATGAAGAAGGGAAGAATCTGACAATGTTGCATGAAAAGTGGAATCTGAATTCTCCATGTCATGTTGTAATAAAATGTCATTCTGTGGTAATGATTGTTGTTGTGATAAATGAAGATATGATGATGGAATTCTCTTCAGTCGAATCAAAAAGAGAGGACTAATAGCATAATTATCGTCTTCTTTTCGAAGTAAATCATGAACTTGTGGGCAATAGGCAAAGTATGGAATAATTTGAGCACAATAAATGAAGGAATGTTCTTCTTGAGAAATGTTGAAATTCATGGAATTCTGTTTTGATCGATTAGAATGTTCATCATCATATTCATCACCACATTCATCATCATCATCGAAACACGTGTAACCAAATGTCAAACGTTTGTTTCTTTTTTGAGATTTCTTCTCATCATTGAATTCTTTCATTTGAGATTGATCCATATTCTTCTCATCATTGAATTCTTTCAAATATTTCTCATAATGAAATAAACATTCATGAATGACATTCAATCCCTTGACACTCACTAAATAATGATTTGAAATTTCACTCAAAATTTTGAATTTTTCTGAAAATTTCATCGTTGAATAATGAGAGAACGTGTGACATGAAGAATGTTTTTGAATAAATTCTTTCAAAAGAGGTGAATGTTTGGTGTCAATGATATTCTGAGTGGAGAGAAAGACTTGTTTACAACGTAACAAGGATTAAACGTTCATCGTTGAATGTCCCTGAACATCCATATATGGGAAATTGAAAAAGTTCAAAGAGAGTAAATGTTCAACATGTTGAATCCATCCCATATCAAAGAAGGTAATATTGTGTTCAAGAGAGGTACTGCTCTCAAGAAATTCAGAAGAGTGATGATTGGAAGAGGATTTCTGCAAACATTTAGCAGTCAGCTTGGCGAACTCAACTCCAACAACATCTACACCTCACACCTACACACCCATTAGACACACTATCGTCGGACAATTGAGTACCTATAATTTGTTTATTTTTCAATAAACCCATTCCTGTATTTTTTTTTTGATTTTTTTGAAAGGTTGTCATGTCAGGTGTCAAATTCAAGTCCATTGGACATCCAATCATCCCGGCTGATCACCAATCTCTTCTTCATTTTAAAAAATGCCCTTCTACTTTGGTTCACTCGATGCAAGATCCCCATCACTTCTCCCCAATGAAATTAAATTACAAAGCTCGAATGAATTTATCAGTGACAAGGCTCAATGGTTACGCACTTTGGATCGAATTCTTGACATTAGGTCCGAATTTAAAGAATATCTTTTACAAACGGATTCATCCTCTCTCCATCAATTATTGGAATGTCATGAATTGAAACATGGTCTTCCAGTGATTCATTCTCAGAATGACGTGATGAAATATTTATCATCCATTCCTTTTATTATGAAATTAAAAAAGAAAGATCCATCGAGTGATGGTTTTATGAATTTTGATGAACGATTTGAAGTGTTAAAAAAGATTACAAAAATGTTTCTAGTCACTCTGGAAGGATTACATGAAATTCATCGATATTTGAACAATACCAACGATAATTCTGAACAACAAGAATATTTTATTAATTCCTTATTTCACTTCCGTATTCGAAGTGTTACTCTATTTCCATATTTTCCAAATTTCACCTCGGACAATCAAGAGGAGTATCGTCACGGAATGTTACCATATCTCATTGTTTCATTGAAAAGTAGTCCAAAAGGAAATTGCGAATGATCCTAAAAAGGTCATTTTGGTGGTGGAGCATTGGGCCATTCCACCACGAAATGTCTCAAATCATAAAATCTATGCAAGTGGTGGTGGTACGAGTGGTGGTGACCATTTAAAGAGAATTCGATTGAGTTTGTTGAATACTCCGATTTATCCAATCACGGTGAGGGAATGGAATGAGAATTCGATTGAAGTGGAACCAGGATATCCTCATTACCATCAGGAAAAACATGGATCTGCCACCTTCAAGAGCACCTCTTTGATTGGACAATTATACGACATGATTATGAGTGAAATTCAAAACGAAACAAATTTTGCAACTCCTCATCCAGAAATAATCATCACCGCATTAGATGATCGTGATTATATTTATGTGTCATGTCTCTATGAAATTAAGAAGGCTCTTTCTTGCAAGGAGAATCCTCTCGATACATTCATGCATTTCCTTCTCACACGGTGGAATTTGATTCACAAAGGAAAACATACCATTCAATATGCGAGTGAATTTTTGAACATTTTTTGGAGAGTGTTGTGTTGGGTGGAATTATTTTCTTGTTGTTTCCATTATCATTCATCTAATGGTTCGAATGAAAATGATGTGAGTTGTAGTTCAACAATGAACACTGAAAGAATCACCATTCGAATCCATGTATTGAATTCTTGTTTGGAAGATTTGAGCCCACACGATCAAGAGACTCTTCTCAACGAGTTTATAAACTCTTCCACCACAACCTCCAATAAGGAAATTCGAGTCATGACCTTAATGGGAATTGATTCTGTTCCTTTGGAATGGGAGAGAAAGAGTTCAGTATTGGAAAGCGATCGATCCAAGACTCATATTTATGAAATCACTGACACCTCCTGCATGACATCACCCTCTACGATGGCATGGATTTTGGAACAAGTGATTGAATCCTCATTGAGAATGCAAGTCGAATTGGGTTTCCATTTGCATGATTTAATGAAAAAATATTTCATGATGATGGAGAAGAATCAAAGAGAAGATTATTACTACGAGTTCAATCTTTCTAAAGCTCTATTGAAGAAACTTTTAGAACAACAAGGATTTGAAAAGGAATTCCCAAAAACATTCTCTCACCTTTGCACCAAATAAAATCATGGAAAGTAAATGTCATTTCATTCAATGTCATTTCAATGTTTTTATACAATGATGATGATTTGTTCAGAATTCCTGTTTGAATTCATGTTTCCATCACACCAACTACCACCAATATTGTGCTGTACTACCACTAGCACTACCACCAACATTGTGCTGTACTACCACTATATTGATTCAAGTGAAGACGACTTGTAACCAATCTTTTGTTCTAACCAAACATGTCTTGCTACACTTGCTGATGGTCTTTTCTCATAATCCTTATCCAACATGATCATGACAAAATCAATAAGAGCTTGAATATTATAGGAAGAGGAGGAAGAGGAGGTGTCACCATGGTGTGAGACACTTGTATCACCACCACTTGTACCACTTGTCACAGGATTCGAGTTCTTGTCATGATTACCACCACTGTTATTGCCAACATTGCCACTATTACCAACATTACCACTATTACCAACATTGCCACACAAAGTTAGTGTTAATTTCTCTCTAATTTCTTTACCTCCATTACTCATGATTGAAATACGAACAGTCGTTTGGAAATCTCGTGTAATCATGATATAAAAAACACATCCCAATCCATAAATATCTGTTTTAGAGACATCTTTGACATCACCTGCAAATAATTCTGGTGATTGAAATAATTCTGTACCAACAATACTCGTTTTAGTGACTAGTGTTTCAACATCACCTTTGGAGAGACCAAAATCACTCAATACCACTTCATCTTCATTCCTTAAAAGGAAATTCTCTGGTTTGATGTCTCTGTGATAAACATCTCTTCCATGAATATATTCAATACATGATAACATTTGATCCATGAAATTGAGAATTCTATTAATTGGTAAATGAGATTTCAAATTCAACAAGTAGGATTGGAAATCACCCAATTCAAGGAAAGGCATTGTGAAACACCACTTGTCATAATTTCCTAATTTAGTTTCAAAGATTTCATAAACAGGTAGAATGTGTTTGTGATTGAGTTTGGACATTTGAATGAATTCTGCATTGTTACCTTCTTCTTTTGGAAGAATTTTCATGGCAAGAATCTTTTTATCTTCACTATTCAAATCACAAACTGTTTTGAAGTGATGAGATTATATGGTTGCATTTCATCAACAATTGAAGTGATGAGATCAACAATCCAATGCATCATCATAAAGTGATCATTTTAGAGTGGAATGATTTTCATGAATTGAAATTTGAAAAAAGGTTAAACAAGAGGTTTCAGAATTGATAAAATCTCAAAAATAATTTGTAACAAAAAATTTGTGATCTCTTACCTTTGAACACACTTCCAAATCCACCCTTTCCAATCTTTTTCAAAATTTCATAACGATCTACTAAAACATTCTTTTTAGCTTTCTTTTGTGGTGAATCCACTTGTGAAAGTTTTTGATTTTTCCTTTTCAATTCCAATTGATTGAACATTTTAATCACCACGAGTTGTTGTTGTTGAAGATCAAATGTTGAAGAATCCTTCTTGGAAATGGCACTACCACTCTGACCACCACTCTGACTACTACTATTACTACTATTACTATTACTATTACTACTATTACTACTACTATCGAGAGGAGTAATAAAGTACATGTTCACCAAATCTAAATTCACACAATTTTCAAAGAGTTTTGTAAAGAATTCTTCCAAGTTTGGAATGGAATTCTTAATCTTGGAAAAGAGTCTCTTACACACAAATTCACTCCACTCTGTCAATAAAGAATTCTTTGACGAATTGTTTTGTTTCAAAGAAGGAGGAGAGGAAAAGATGAGGAATAGTATTTCAATGAATTTTTGTAAATTCAGAGGATTTGAGAGGTTTTTTGGTGGTGACTGTTGACGTTCCATGTGAGTCGTTGAGTATTCGATCATATTTCTAAATATGGTAATTCTAGTTTCGGTTTCAAGAATACTCGAGAAGGATGCCAAACATAAACTCTCAATCAACAAGTTGCAATCGACTACAATGACAGTATTCAAATTATTAAATTGTTCCAACTTTTGTAAATATTGTAAGAATCCAAATATATCCTTCACTCGCTTTTTATGGAAAGGTCGAAACATTTCAATTTCTGAAACCAATGGATTAACAACAGCACACGATTTGTCTCCAAATTCTCCTCCATTCAATGTACAATTAATCATTGTCAATATTATTGAAATGATATTCTCTCTGGTGTTTGAATCTATTTTCATTGTTTGATTGAACAATTCAAAATTCTTTACAGTTGAACACCAATAAATAATCACATAATAGATTGAATAAATCTTCTTTCTCAATTCCAAGTTATTGGTATATAATTGATCAAATGATATTTTTGATTTTGATAATAAATCTGAATTGACATTTGACATTTCTTTCAAATACTTCTTACTTTCATTGGCCAATGACATGTCCAAATGATAGAGAGTAGGTCCAAATTGACATAATTGTTCAAAGAGAATGATAAGTGGTGTTGGAATATCAATTCCTTTTTCTTCTTTTTCAACACTCAACACATGGAGTAACATCATTTCGAATAATCTTGAAATTTGAGTTAAAAGAGTTAAATAATGTTTGTAAGATTGTTGAGAAGCATGAGTGGTGGTGGTGGTGGTGGTGGTGTTCATATGGGTCTCTACACCACCACTTTGAATACCACCACTCGTAGTAGCACTCGAATGGGTCTTTAAATTTTCTCGAATCATTGGGAAGAGAATTTTCAAAATGATGGAATCGATCATTTCATATCGATGGTTGTGTTGTAAGGATGTTTGTGGAGGAGAATTGAAACCACCACCACTAGTTGTAGTAGTAGTAGTAGTATTAGAGGAGTTATTATTACTACTATTACTATTACTACTTCCACTTCGATGAATCATTGGACTAGTAGTACCACTTTGAATACCACTAGGACTACCACCACTAGGACTAGTAGTAGTAGTAGTAGTTGGATTAGATGCATCTAATGTCGTCGTTGTCGTCATTGTTGTTAAATGATAGTGTGATGATAATTGAATAAAACATTTACATTTCAATACATTGGAATAAACATTAAATTTCTCAGTGAGTGTGATGGTTGTAATACTCTCAAAAAGACTTTTCAGGAAATTTGAGAAATGATGATGTGGTAACATGTCATGTAAAATATCAAACACACTCACAGTGAGACTTTTCATCAAATTTCCCTTAATGATGGCTATATTTGGAACATTTTTACCATCCAAATTGAAAATGGCTAATAATTTGGCAACGAGACTATGAAATTGTTCTTTGAATTCAGAAATTTCTTTCAAATGTTTTTCTTTTTTTGGATGGCACAAGGAATGATTTTTTCTTTTTTGAAAAGTGTCTCTTTTTGAGAAGAATCATGACCAGAGAGAAGGATTGAATGGCATGATAGAGAGATTTGTAGTGAGATTCAGGAATGGTTGCTGATGTGGTTGCTGATGTGGTGTTGGTGCTATTTAAAGGAGAACTTGTTGATGAGGATGAGGATCTTCCTCCAAGACTATTCCTTCGATGAGTACTACTACTATTAGTACTACTATTACTATTAGTACTAGTCCTAGTCGTAGTAATGGTACTATTACCATTACTATTACTACTTGCATTATTATTAGTGGTACTGATGGTACTGATGGTATTGGCACTACTGATGGTGGTGGTTGGAACATTCAATTCTTTCAAAATGGATTCAAGACTTGTAATGGATTCTTGAAATCGATCATTTAAATGTTTCAAAATGGATTGATAGACCTTTTCACTGATTGGAATTTTTGACACAATTTGTTCAAATAATTGTTCAGTCTTTGAAAAGTATTGTCCAATCAAATAAAAGAGAATTTCAAGAGTTTTGTTACGAATATCTTCATGTTCATCATAAAATTCTAAAATTGAAAATAATGATTTGAACAAGTTGTGAGCATGTAGAACACATTCCTTATAAGTAATTTTCTTTTTCACTTGTTCTAATAATTCCATCATGGATACATTTTTCAACATGAATTGTTTCCATAAAAATAGAATTTGTAACAAGTGTGAATGTGGAATGGAGGAAATGAAAAAGATGATACTCATTTTGATATTATTCTTTTCTGGTTTGCTCATTTTCAAATCTGGAATGACAGCAAGTACATTGGTTCGTGAAGTGATGATTCTATTGTTGTTGTTAAGGTTAATGTTATTGTTAATGTTGGAGAATGAATGATTCAATAAGGATGATGAGTCACCACTCGGACTACTCAAAGATGATTTCGTCTTGTAGAGTTCAATTAATTTCATCTTTTCAAAATTCATGAGTGAATCTTGATCTGTGAATTTGTAATATCCAATCAATACAGGTTGTTCCTCTAATTCATATTTTGATGACTTGTAATTCACATTATAGACATAAATGTATAAATAGAGATGATCAAAATTCTCCACATGTGAAGCATCAATGTGAAAAGGTTCAAAATATTTTGGATTGGTTTTTTTGCAAAAGACATAACTTGAATAATGGAAAGGACCATTCATGTCGTGTTCATGATTAATCTCTTCATCTTGTTGTTGTTGAGAAGAAGAAGAAGAAGAGAATGAAGAAGAAGAAGGATTGAAATGGTTATTGGGTGATGATGTGGTGCTAGTGAAAGAAGATTCAACATTAGATGAAAAACTACCTCCCAAATTTGAACCACTTGATGAATTCGAATGAAATGAATCAGTCTGACTGGTTATACTATTGGATCGTTTGTTCACGAACGAAGACGACGAACCAGGTCCTGTGTTTGTTCTATAAATGGGAATAAATTTACCTTCCTTCGTTTGTGGATTTTTCACTTCAAATAATCGCATCACAATGAGTGGATTTTTGGATTTCAAAATGGAACTTGAAAAAGTGGCTCGATCCAAACATGGATAAATGTCACATCGATTCTCTAGAAAGGAGTAATTCGTTTTGGCTTCATTCTTTGTGTTGATGGAGAACCAATTGATAGGTTTGGCTGTGAATAAACGTTGAAATTGTGGAACTTCTTTCATAATGACATCATAATCACCCTTATAGAATACAAAATTCACATTCAATTGATCCTTCAATGCCTTACATTCACTTCCAATCGAAGTGTAAGTATAGAGTGAGGTGGGTGCACTCTGGACCAAGGTTGAATCGTGATTTGAGGCCGCTGAAGGGAGTGTCGTGTTGGGGCTGGTGGTGGTGCTACTCGTATTGCCACTGCTACTACTACTCAGAGTGGCCACACTGAGATTCGAACCACTACCGCCAAAAGCGGAATGTCGGCTATCCAAATTTGAACTACCTGCCGTAGATGCAGAATTGGCGGTCAATGAGAGGAGTGTTGGATTCATTCCACCCAGCGCACTACCACAACTACTGTGAATGGAGCCTTTTCGAGAGAGTGAAGAGGAATCTTTGCCCGACAGTAAGGTTGCAAAGTCCATGACATCATTGGCATTGTCTAAATTGTCACTTGCAAAGGTGGAAGAGTTGTTATTACTACTAGTACTACTGGTCGTACTCAATGGATGGTCGTCCTCTAATAAATACGTGGGTTTAGCATTGAGCTTTCTTCCACTGTTTTGAGCGGCAATGACTGCATGTAACATGGTGAATTTCTAGAAATGGAAATATATAATGAATGTGGTGTTCATGTAAATGAATGGAGTTGAATGGATTCATTTCCAATCATTGAACACGGGATATGGACATGGCATTGTACAATATACATAATATATGAATAGTTAAATGATATGTAATAATATATGAAAAGTTAAATGATATGTAATAATATATGAAAAGTTAAATGAATGATATGGACATGATGAGAACTGGTACATATTCATCAATGACCTACCTTTTCATGACTCTTTTCATAAAATTCACAATATTTTGTTACAGAGTGTCCATTGGCTAATTCTTTGATACTTTCTGAATCGAATGGAATGGCACACACTGCCAATGGTCTTCTCAATGTGTCAATATCCAAATCATCCTTATTTGGAGAAATTGAATTACTACTACTTTGAATGGAGAGATTTTTAGAGGAAGCAAAAGTATTCAAAGAATTCTGATGTCCTAATTCATATTTTCTAAATGCTCTTCCAACCAAATACAAATCATCCTTCAATAAATTACTTCCAGTAATATCTCGAAATAATGAAATTCTATTTTTACCACTGTCACTTGAAATGACAATACTCTCACTAATAAAACGAGCTTCATTCAATGAATACATGGCAAAATGAATTTCAATACTTTCATCTCCAGTTGCAAATAAATGAAAATCAAAAACAACCATCAATTGATAGGTGTCATTAATGGAAAGTTGATTGTTGATAGAGGTGTGAGTCGTCGTCGTCGTTGTTTCATTCAATGAAGAAGAAGAGGAATTCGATGAGGAATTCAATGAAGAGGTGGGTGTGGATGACGATTGATCAACCACACTCTTTCCTGTACTACTACTACTACTAGTACTACTACTGCTGTTCGTAGTAGTCGTGTTATTTCCACCACCACCACCTGTTGCAGCTTGATTGACTTGTTCCAAACCCTTTTTGATGGTTGAAAAGACTTTATCTTTGAAGGATCCTTTTGATTTTTTGTCACTAATACTGTTAGTGCTATTATTACTGTTGTTGTTGTTGTTGTTGTTTGATGGATGGGTGGACTTTTGAGCTGAAGTTTTTCGTTTTTGTCGATTTTGATCATTCAAAGATAAACCACCAACTCCTCGAAGACCTTTATGTTGACTCAATAATTGTTCAATAAAAGCACCATCACTCACATAGACACTGGTTTCATTTTCTATATCACTGATACTATCAATCATGGATTGATATTCATTTGTATTGTTGTTATTATTAGTAGTGTTATTATTATAATTCATGTTATTGTTATTATTAGTGTTATTATTCATAGTGTGAGTATGTGCCATTTCTTTGAATAGTATTATTATTATTATTATTATTACTATTATTATTATTATATTACTTCTCCTTGACAACTAGTCACACGTGATGATTTTGTTATTCAGAAAATAATAATCAATGATGATGATGTCTTCGTGTGATGAGATGTTGAGCACTGCTGTCAATTGATTTGTGAAATGTTGACAACTCTGTTTGATCACAATGTTCCTTCTTCTCAAAAACGTAAAAAGCTTTGAAGGAGAGAATGAGAGAGTGTTTAATATTTAATTGTTGTGCAAGTTCAACAACACCACCAATGATGACAGTTAATGATTTTTTAACAGATCATAGGAAATGGACGACTGAAGAGGTCTCTTAAAGTGTGGCGAGAGAGAATCTTTCGTGAGAGAGAGCTGCAGTGTGTGCTGTGTGTGTGGAAGGAGAATTCAAAGTTCATAAATGAAGCAAATGGATAAATTCATCCAATTTTCCCTCAAATAACATTTTCTCGTGTTGATACCATTCATCATCGTTACATATCATCGTTATACCTCCCATGAGATTGAATACGTCTATTCATGGAATGGAGAGTGAGTACTCACTTTGGATGATCCATTAGTGAACTGGAGAATAGAAAAAATCACACACCCCCTATCGAATCTGAGAAACAGAACGATCCTTCATCATCACTTCTAAAAAAAATGAATCACAACCATTCGTCTTCTTCCTTCTCATCATCATCGGATCAGCCTCAATTACGATTTGCGATGGTTGGAGTGTTTCGGGAGGCTCTTGATTCTTCTAATTTATTATTCAATAATAACATCTCCCAATATTATGAATCTCAAAATAACAGCTCTAATGAACCATCATCCTGTATTTTAATTGGTGAATACTATCGAGGCTTAACCAGCAGTGCTCAAATCTCTCAACAACATCAGGCTCAAATGACTCGTCAAATTTGTTTGAAAATTGGAGATAAAGTATCTCATACGAATCATAAACGAACTCTCACACAGGGTTCTTTAAATTTTCATTACAAAGTGGTTGATAACAAGTATATTTTTGTGGTTTGTGCAGATTCGGAATGTCCTCTGAGAATTTGTTATAACTTTTTGGATGATTTAGAAACACAATTTAAAAGGCAAGGGTTTGATAATGAGGGGCTTTCTAATTCACATTTTAAACCCATTTCGAATATCATTAAGGATCGAATGGCTCATTACAATAATTTAGAAAATGATAAAATTTACAAATTGAAAAATCAAATTGATGCTACCAAAGATGTCATGATTTCTAATATTGATAAAGTGATTGAGAGAGGAGAACGATTGGATGTGTTGGCAGAAAAGACTGATGAGCTACAAGATCATGCATTTACCTTCAAAACAAAAAGTAAGAAGCTGAAAAATACCATGAAAAAGAGAATTATTCTACTCGCACTGATATTGATTGTAATTTTTGTAATCATTGTTCTGATTGCAGTGTTTGCTGGTTGCAATTTTCCATCCTTTGATAGATGCAGAGTTTCTTCCAACAATAATAATAATAATAATGGAAATAACAATTAACCATTTTACGAATGAAATTGAGCTCAGAGACGAAACGAACCTACTAACTCAAATTTTGTACATCCCATCAACAACAAGTCACTTTTGAATATGACTCAACAAGTACTTCCATCCACACACCTCTTGATAATAAACCCAATAAGAATAAAAGTTCCAATATTATTGTATTGTATTTTCACAAAGAATATTTATATTTTCTCAAAGAATTGCACACAAACAACATCAAACAAAAAAAATGACCATCTCAGCCAAGCACAACAATCAAATTCCTCTTCGTTCGGTCCGACCCATCTATTCTTCCTCGGTACCATCATCATCATTGATAACAAATCCAAGTACTAGTCATACGAGTAGTAGTAGTAGTAGTAGTAGTAGTAGTAACACCACCAACACTCCTCTCATCAATATTGAAACCGGTAAACGAAAAGATGGACGTACCTGTGATAAATTCAGAAATGTTTTTCTTCAAGTCGGAGTGATTAAACAAGCTCGTGGAAGTGCCTATTTAGAATTTCATCAAGGAACTAAAATTATTTGTGCAGTCTATGGACCTCGACAAGTTTCTGCAAAAAAATGTGGAATTTAGTGATACTGGAAGATTACAATGTGAATATCGAGTAGCACAATTTGCATCACTGCATCACAATTCTCGGAGTAGTGCAAGTTCTGCCATGAGTGCCACCAAATCACATCAAGCAACATCGGAAGAAATTGAATTTGGAATTCACATGAGAGAAGCTCTTGAATCATCCCTTCGATTAGACAAGTATCCAAAAAGTGTCATTGATGTTTATTGTTTTGTTTTAGAAGATGATGGAAGTGCATTGAGTGGAGCCATAAGTTGTGCCTCACTTGCACTTGCAAATGCAGGAATTGAAATGGTGGACATGGTGAGTGCATGTACAACAAGTGAATTGGAAGGTCAAATTGTTGTGGATCCAACAAGTCATGAATATAAATATGCAAGTGGTGGAATGGTGTGTGGATTTATGAGCAATTTGAATGAAGTCACACAATTAACACAAGTAGGAGATATGTCTTTTCAGAAAGTGAGTGAAGCTATGGATTTGTGTATTGATGGATGCACGAAATTGTATCAATTAATGCAACAATGTTTAATTGAGAGTATGATGAATACGCGAACAACAATAACAACGAGAGAATAATGTGACTGATCATCCCTCTCATGAAAATAAAAACCTTATTTTTCTGAACTTTTTTGAACTGTTGTTGAACAAAAAAAGATGATGTTACCGAGGAAGAAACCACCACCCCATGTCATTGACAAACATGAAAGGCATGGTGAAAGTTTCACCTGATTATTGCTCATTTAATTCTTCTTACATTTAGAAACACGTAAAAGAGCTCTTGCGAGCTTTCTACCAATCACTGAGACTCTTCTGCCGGCTCTTCTTGCCTTTCTACCACCTCTGTGTCTTCTACGGACTCTTCTTACCTTTCCTTTTCCGCACTTGTGAATCTTGATCTTCAAAGCCTTCAAGACCTTCTTAAGCTTACGAGGTAAGTGTTTCTTTGGACAATATCTCTTACCCAACTTTCTTTGTTTTCTCAAGACCTTTTTCAACAATTTTCTAATCTTTCGAGAAGTCTTTCTCTTGATCACAGTTGCGGAAATTCTCTTAATGAGTTTGTTGTATCTGCGAGAGGCTCTCTTTCTAAGTTTCTTCAAGATGGCACGCTTGGCCTTTCTTGCTCTTCTCAAAGCACGTCTCTTGAGCTTCTTGCATACTCGTTTAGCACGTTTGTTTTTCTTCAAAGCACGTTTCACCTTCTTACAGACACGACGAGAGCGTCTTACGAGCTTTCTTGCCACACGTCTTGCTCTTCTCAAAGCACGTCTTACACGTCTAGCAGCACGCTTGGATTTAGAAATTCTCAGTTTGGCAAGGAGTTTTCTGACACGTTTGATGGCCCGTCTTGCGACACGCTTTGCATGTTTACCCTTTCTTGTCAATTTTCTTGATCTCTTCAAAGCACGTCTCTTAGCCCTCTTACAAGCACGACGAGCTCTCTTCAATGCAGCACGTATGATGCGTCTTGCTCTCTTCAATGCACGGCGCTTGAGCTTTCTTTGTCTCTTAATAAGGGCACGACGAGCAGCTCTCTTCAATGCAGCACGTCTTCTAAGAGCCTTCTTGATGGCAGCAACTCTTCTCTTGGCAGCAGAAGCACGGCGAGCAACTCTTCTCTTGGAAGCCTTACCACGTTGTCTTCTCAATGCAGCACGACGTCTTGCAATTCTTCTACGTAGAGACTTCTTGATGGCAGCAGCTCTTCTCTTCAAAGCCTTTCTCAATTTGTTGGAAAGCTTCTTCTTTCGAAGAAGTCTCTTGATGAGTGGAATTCTTCTTCTCTTGGCAGCAGCTCTTCTCTTCAAAGCCTTTCTTCTCTTCAACTTGGCAAGCTTCTTAAGAACAGCACGTCTTCTCAATGCACGTCTTCTATTTCTACGGGCCTTCTTGAGAGCAGCTCTTCTCTTGGCACGACGAGCAGCTCTTGCACGACGTCTTGCAATTCTTTGCTTTCTTCTCAGAGCCTTCTTCAAACGCTTGATGAGTCTACGTCTGGCACGACGAGCACTTCTGGATTTGAGTTTCTTTCTTCTCAGAGCCTTATGAAGTTTCTTCAAAAGTTTACGAACAGCCTTCTTTGCCTTCTTTGCAAGTTTCTTGGTCTTCTTTACCTTCTTAAGGATGGCCTTTCGAGCAGCACGTCTTGCCTTTTTAACCTTCTTAATGATCTTCTTGGCTTGTTTCTTCCACTTGTTGCTCTTCTTCTTCTCTAACTTTTTAACCTTGACAATGGTCTTGGCAAAGTCTTTACCAAGTCTCTTACCAGCTTGAATTTGATCAACCACACAAGCATGGAAAGCATTTGGATTCTTGTGTTTGTTCAAACCAACCTTTCTACACACTCGACGAGCTCTCTTGAGTTGTTTCTTGGTTGGCTTCTTTGGTTGGACTCTTCTCTCAATTCTTCTTTCCTTATGATTGTGCAGAATACCTGTTGCAGATCGAGAAAGGTAGGAACGAGAAACACACAAACCCGAAGAGAAGTTCAAAGTTCTTGGAGCATCGAGAATCAATGAGATGTGTCCAAAGGAACCATAGGCACTTCTGAATGATGGACTCCTGTGCCATGTAGCAGTCAAGTGAGCTCCATTCTTTGAAGAGATGATTAATGAGTTGGAAGATACTCGTTTGACGGTGGCAACAGATCCACTCAATGCAATGGTTTGACCCACATTCACTTTGGTTTGCTTTCCGTTCAAATAGAAGGAATTGGTTTTGGTATCATATTCAAAGGAATCTTTTTGATTGATTTTAACAGCAAAGGCAGTATTGACGGATACTCTGAATATTGAGTGGTATTACCCGTCATACAAATATATTATTGAATCAATGCAAGAGAGTTCGAATGAATGTAAATACCCATCAAAGAGAGATACAAGTGGTGGACATCCATTGATGCGCATCGAGTGAGTGAATTTTCACATTTTATGAAAGCATTAAGTTCCATCAGAAGAGAGAATATATTGAGCGCGGCGCGTGAACATTTCCATCACACCACCACCACTTGCTGTCAGCAAAAGTGAATGAAACACAACCCACACACTTACCTATTCCATTTTCCTGTTCTTGCATGCACAACGAATGACTTGTCAACAGTTTCTGCCAACACATAGTCACCGACGCCATAAAAGTCATATTTCTTTCCTGTGAATGAAACATAGTGTGGATCACCAATGGATTGACATCTCTGTAAGACAGAGTTGGCTCTTACTCGACGGGCTTCTGCTGGTAGCAGGGCAAGGATGACACAAGTTGCCACCAACAACAAGCCAATCAGAAATTTTGATCTGCTCATCATCGTTTGTTGATGTTTAGTAGCACGATGACGAAGACTTGTGTGTTGAATTTTTTGTTGTGATGATGAACTAACGCAAGCCATTTTCGGTTGGAATTAAAAAGGATTTCAGAGAGACATGTGAAGTCATCATAAAAGGGTGACACGGTCACGAATCAAGCGATTGTGAAGTTTCTTGTTCTGACTTTCCTTGAAAGTAAACAAAATTTGGCATTTATTAATTGCAAATAGTCCAGTATTCCTCCATCCGTATTAATCGTATGCGCATGACCTGATTCTTTCGTGTCAAATAAAACCATAACTTGTTTTTTATTGTTGTTGCTGTTCTTGTTGCTTCAAAATTTCGTTTTCCACTCTCAATTTTCGTATAAGGGCCTTCTTCTTCTCGACTTGTGATTTCAAGTGACCCTCCAATTGAGCCTTTTGCTGTTTAATGCCTGCACGTGGATTTCTGTTCTTTTCTGGTGGAATCCATTCAATAGTACCAGATGTACTAATATTCTTTGATAGGTTGTCAAGATAGAATTTGGTGTTATCAACTTGTTGAGACTTGGTCAAATGAATTTCAGTACGATTTTTGAGATTAAATTCGTTGGAGATGTAAGGAATTTCAATTTGATTCAACAAGTTTCCTTGTTCAAGAGAGGCTCCAGTGAAAGAAAGAAGTCCAAGATGACGAGCCTTTTTAACTTCATCTTGAATCTTCTTGTGAGTTCTTCTTCTAACACCAGTAAATCTCTTTGGAATAATACGACCAGTTTGCGAAACAAATTTGAGAAGGAGGTTTGGATTCTTGTATGAAATCTTTTCAATGTAGTGTTGATTGTTGGCAAATGGATCTGGAGGGCGAGTTTTGAATTGAGGTAACTGATGTAATTGATATTCCATCATTTTACGGTGTTGAATATCATCACCAGCGAGTTTACCTTCTCTCCAATCTTGAGCAACCTCTGTAAATTGATTCACAGCACTCATGAATTCCATATGACTTGTTGGTGGTTTGTTGTAGAGCCATCCTGATGTATTGGCGTTTACAGGAGTTTTTAAGTAATGATTGAACACATCGCTATCAGCTCTTTCTATGTAACGATAATAATCATACCATGTATTTCCTTGAGGAGAATCTGGTGAATTAGCCTGGAAGGGTGCCTCGGGAGAAATGTTTTTAGCTTTCTTTGATGTTGTCGCAGCTTGATAAACGTCTGAACCATCGTAATTGGCTCTACCACCTCTACTTCTTGCGATATTTTCCTCGATGAGTTTATGAATATCCTTTAGAGATAGTTTCTTGTTGGCAAGTTTTTTCTTGCTTGCTTGGTCCAATTCTATTTGTTTAACTCCTTCATTCGAGCAGGGATGAGTGCTAAAATTTTGTTGATGATGATGATGACTAGAGAGAAGAATTGCTACTGTTGAAGAAGAATGGTGCGGAAAAAGCAGTTGCTGCTGTGTTTTGTTGTTGAAAGAGCGGAGAGAACGATGCAAAATAACCCTCTTCATTTTTTTTAAAACCATCTTGATTATTCATCGCTAATATTATTATTTAAATGGCAACGTTGCCGAAGGAATGGTTTCTTCATCATCATCAACATAAGCACTCATCAATTCTCTAACAACAAATACAATTAATAGGATTAAATAAATTGCAGGTTTGAAAAACATTTCGAAAAATCCAACAACAACTCCCACCAAAAAAATGAGCAGCCACGATCATCAAGCAAACCTGCAGGCTCAAACCTCATCATCGTCAAATCCTGCTCCTTCTTCTGGATCGCCAGCTGCTCAAACTTTGAATTTTGAAACGTATCTGAGAAGCTTTGAAAGCCTCAAAAACGCTAATGGTAAGTTAATTTCGATCGATTATTGTCATACCCGATAATCATTACACAACTCTAGACACTGTTAACCTCACAAAGTTGTTAATTGAGTTGCGTGATCATTTAGAGAGTGCTTCGTTACCGGAATGTTTTGACTTTGCTTCTACAATGTTAAAACCATTATTGGAGTTCCTAAATGATGGAGTAAAGCCTAAATTCAGAAAAGATGACAAAGATCATCTACTTCGCCAAGTGATCATTGAAATTATTCAAAAATTGCCACATACAGAAGTAAGTTTTATCAATGATTGATTAATTAGTCACTATTTTGAAACTTATTAACATTGATCTGAATTTTAATATCACTACTTGACAACAAATAATTATTATTGACACTCATCTATAATTTTTAAATAGTTATATGAAGAGAGAAATGGAAGAAGAGAAGAACTCACTCTGCTCATGAACTCACTAATCAAAGTGCTAAAAACGGACAATGAGTTGAACGGAGTTGTGGCAATTCGACTCATAATTGATATTTACAAGTCATTCAAAACTAGCCTTCCAACTATTGTTCAACCTGTAGTCGACATTTTTCTTCAATTTTATGCAAATTTCGAAAAAACAATTGAAAAATATTTAGGAAGAAAACCAAAAAGAAATAATTTATCTACTGGAGATGCCATTATTACAGAACCTTCAGATCAAGCTTACGATACGAGGGATTATCTAATACCTTGCATTGAAAGTTGCAAATTTATGATAGAATTACCTATATTTATTATATATTTCTTTAGAAGCAGTCCTTTGAAAGATACAACCAGTTTTACCACACTGTTCGAGAAAGTGCATGACATTTTTAACTATGACATTGCTGTTTCTGATGACATTATGGCATCACCTATTGGAAAGGAACGAGTGGAGGATTTCATGCTTTTGCGAGTGAAGACAATATCGTTCCTTGTTTATACATCCAAATACGTCGATAAGAAAAATGACAATGGCTATGTGAAAGATATTCCTAGATTTGTCATTAAATGCCTGAAGGAATGTCCTGATGAATGTATTACACCAAGAAAGGAAATGTTTTTGATTATGAGACACATTGTCAATGAAATTCCATTGGCTCAAAACGAACTCAGTGGAATTTGTTCTCATTTTATGCCCTACATGAATGACCTGACGAATGACTCTGTTTTAATTGGAAAAAGTAGATCAGCCTATGAAACTGTCCGTTCATCAGCCTATTCCACAGTTTTAGAAATACTCAATTTCAATCAAAACAAGATTGATTTCACTCCAACACAAATGTCTTCATGCATAACATTCTGCACTAAGTTATTATGTGATACCTCTCTAGGATTAGGTATTCATGCACTGGCTGTGGGTTTATTGGTTTCATTGTCTCAAACCATTTACAAAAATATTGCTGCGCAAATTCAACAACAACAACAACCATCATCATCAGAAAATGGCAGCACCACAGAACCTCCTCCTCCTCCTCCTCCTAATAATAATACTACTACTACTACCAACACCACCAACATTTCAGAACTGGTGAATATGCCTCACATCATCAGGTTCAAGGAAATACTTTTGAGTATTATCCGAGCATTTGTACAGAAGGTTAAATATCTTTCCAAGCTCATCAAAAAGATATCCAACTCAAAGAAAAAGCCAATATCGACTGAAAATGCCAATGATAACTCTATGATATTGCCATTTAGTCCATACAAGTTCAATGAGAATTTTATGAATGATATTACCTACTGCTGCACCATGTTTAAACATCTCATATTCGGTTTGAAGACGATAGTACTTGTTTTCACCTCTGTACCAAGAGATGAAAGATCCAAGTTCCCAGAATTACCACTCTTGAATAAGCTTTTCAGATATGGACTTGATTGCTTTGATATTTATAACCTGGTTAGTGAAGATACATCGAATGTTGAATCAATCACCAAACAAAAGATTGTCGAAGAGGAGAAGGACATTTTCAACAATTATTCCTCTCTTTATACATCTCTCTCGGCTCCACTTTTCACAGAGATATTTAAAACTCAATTTGAGTATCTCTACAAAAAGTTGTTGGATGGAAGGCCAATGACTTTTATTCACATACCAGCAAATGTTTTATCATCCAATCCAAATATTGCTTCTGTATTTTCAGAGATTTTACTTAAATTCTTATTGAAGAGAATGGACAAAATTGCAAAGGATCGAAAAGAAGCCCAATATATGCATAATTTATTCAAGTTAGTTTTTGGATCCACAGTTACCTTTCCAAAGAATGAGTCTGTTCTCAAGAATCATATGACTTCAATTGTAACGTCATGTTTTACATATGCTTCCAAATTCAAGGAGTGCATGGATTATTATTTGATTTTACGGTCTCTCTTTAATTCCATCTTATCAGCCAAGTTTGATTTACTTTGCAAAGAATTTGCACAATTACTTCCAACAGTGTTAGAAAAGCTCTCTGATTTGGTGAACAATGCTCACGACAGGGAAACAAGAAATTTATTTGTTGAACTTTGTTTGACAGTTCCATCTAAGTTACACGTATTATGTCCTTACCTTCATTTATTGATCAAACCAATTCTGTATGCTTTGCAACCTGGTGCTAGTGAGAAGGCAACGACTGCTGCATTAAGAAATTTGGATTTGTGGGTAACAAGCTTACGTAATGAATCTTTGGAGGCAATTTTGAAACCTGTTATTCCAGACCTTCTCAAAGCATTATTTACTCATCTAAAACCACAACATCATGCCAATGGAGCGACAGCAATGCGATTACTTGCAAAATTAGGAGGTACTCATCGACAGTATATGAGTGAATTGACATCAGTCAATACCAAGGAACATTCAAATTCACTCTTCTTTAATATTAATTTCAAAGGAAATAACAATATGATCTTCACACAAGATGATGATGATGAATCGAACATGCTCCCAGCAGATGACTTGGTAGATTTATCTATTGATATGTGTCTAGATCGAGATAATGATATCCAAACAAAGAAGAGCGCCTTTGATTTTTTGAAAACGTGCATTCTCTCAATGATATCCACAACAGAAGAGAAACTTGCTGTTCCAGATGATTTCAAATTTACTACCAAACATGTGCCAATTAAGAAATATTTCCACATTTCAGCATCTTCTCCAAAGATTGACAATTATTATCATGATGAAGTCAATGTTCAAGAATGTAAGACAACAATGCGATATGAAGGTGAGATTGCAATGTTCAACAAGGTGTTAAAGAGTATTTTCTTATTCCTGAGCTATGCTGTTAAGGAGAATCTCACTGAGTGTATTGAATTTACAAAGAATTTGATTCGACATTTTGCTATTACTGCCATTTTCAATTCATACAACTATGAGGAACCTTCAAAGTTCAGAATCAATCATGATTGGTTCTATGAAGTTCTTCTTGATGTTTATGAAGAAGATTGTACTGAAGCATCTCCAAATGTCAATGTTGGAGATTTCATTCTGGTTTATTCACAGATTATGTTTATGAAATTTGTAATGACGAACCAGACTTGGTGATCCAATTTGGCATTTGGGAAAGACTTCAATCACGATTCACAAAATCTCTCTATCAACCCGAATGGTACAAGAAATGTGTTGGTGCAAGAGGAATTTTGTTTTTATGTGAAAGTATTACTCCTGTATGGCTTGTCCATTATGAGAGTGATATGTTGAAAGGTCTATTCTTCTCTTTGAAAAATCCACCGATTCATATGATTCCTCACACCAATCAAATCACCATCATGGCAGCTGAGACTCTCATTCGGTCCTGTTACCATACTCCCTTGTTAGATTTTACATTACTTTTCAGCAATAATATTTCTGAAAAGATTGAATACATTCAAGCAGCGCAAGTTCCTTCGACTCTTGCAGAGGGTGAATATATGGTCCATGCGGAGAAAATGGGAAAGGATCTTGTGTTCAAGAAACGATCACTTTTGAGCTTGATCTGTTCTGAACTTTCCTCACCTTTAAACCACATTCGAAAGATTGCTCAATCACTCTTGCGACTGAGCTCAGATCTGATGAACATTCCACTCTCATCCATCATTGATCGATTTAGACCAGATGCTTCTCAGTCTCAAAAGGATCAAAAGATGATGGATCTGGAAAGAAAGATATCGGACTCGTCACTACATCATTGGAATATTCTGTACTTCAACTTTCAACAAGAGACAATAATGTTCCTGGACAATATATTTCCTCTCAATTCACAAAGGCACTTAATCTTTTGAGAAATGATGAACTTTATTCAAAAGATACCAAGGATCAGAAAAAACTTCTCGCCGCAAAATTGGTTGCTCTCAAGCTATTACGAGAGGCCATTGTCAGCAAAGAGCTTAGGTACAATGACAAGGACAGTAATAAGGATCAACTCAAAATCATGATTGAAACTATTTGCAAATTTTTGGTGGCCAATAACAAGGATGTCGTGACCATTGCAAAAACTGCACTACTGACATACATGTCACAATTCAAACCACCCAAAGACTCTCTTCAACAAGCATTGAGACAACTCAGCACCAATTTAGTCAAGTACACACAACTGACTTTGCCTTTCGTGCACAATGCTGCCTTTTTCTTAAAAGTGAATTCTAACATTCAAATTCAGCTCTCGAAGGCAGCATCTACTCTCTTAGAACATTTAAAAAAGTGGGCCGACAAGCAACAAATCAAACACATCTCGAATCAAAAAGAAAAACCAGTCGTTGCTGCTGAAATTGTTGTCCTATTTTCAATCATTCCAGATACATCCGATCATTTACCAGCACTCGTCAAGTTGGTTTTACTCTTAGAATCGGTTTGGGCTGACGAAATTAAGAGCTTGAATCCTTTTGTTGCTCCATTAGCCAAGTATTTGAACATTTATCCAGAACAGGCCATCAGGTTCTTATTTGAGACAAGTGGAGAACAATTCTGTTATGCTCTCTCCACAAAGAGAACTCTGAAAGTTATTATAGAGGTTCTAAACTCGAGAAAAGCCACTAACTTGAGAGCGTATCTATTTGCACATCCGAATGTCATCGCCAATCTTTTGAGTAGCGTGAATCATGTGGAATTTACTGAGAACCAGTCGTTTGCTTCTGATCCAAACAATGTTCTCATATTGGTAGGAAATATTTTCAAACTCAATCCAACTTTATTTGCTGCACACCGTGAAATATTTGATCAAGTGCTGAGAATATGGACTCTCTATTTACAACAATTGGCTCAAAATCCAAATGCTATGGATCTCTCTTCAGATACAACAACAACATCAAAAGGCCAATATATAACGGAGACTCAACGCATTCGTTTTACCAAAAATTACTCAAACTAATGATTTCCTACTGCAACAATAATGAGAATGAAGTGGATACCTTATTTAACATGGTGAAAGTATTCAGTTGTGGACTAGTTATGGATTTGAGCTTTGTGATGGAGTTCTTTGAACTTCAAGTGGGAGGTGAATACAATCTCAAGAGACAAGAAGCCATTTTGAACAAATTTTTGGAAGAATTCAAAAAGAGGATCGTTCCAAATGAAATCAGACATTATCAAACATATTGCCATTCCTATTGTTAGGGGTATTGCTAAGAAAGAAAAACTTAACACCGATTTACTTCGTAGATTTATTGATGAAAAAGTTCTCTTTTCTTCTACTTTTGCTCATTTCACAGAAAAGGAAAAATATTCAATCAATACGGATTTGCTACAATTGCTTACATTATTTGTAAGATTTCTCCCTTCAACTCAACTTGATGTTTTAAAGAAAGAGAAGAATATTTTCAAATTTTGTTATGACAATTGTTGTAAGGATGATATTACTGCAGCCCAATGTGCATTCGTTCTGTTTGCTCATTTAATGAGTAAACTTGATCTCCCTCCCAAATTGATTCAACCCGTATATATTGCATTCTTAAAGGATTGCAAGAAGGATAGTAAATCTTTGGTACTTCCTGCACTCGATATGGTCATGCAGCCAGTCAAAAGGCAGAATTGGCAAATGAACCTAAAAAGTTCCCTCAATGGATTAGATCCACAAAACAAACATTATTAGATGATATGCCATCTACTCATCAATTGGCAAACATTTGGACCATATTTATCAGACATGCTGATTCATTTTATGATTCCAGAGAATGTTTTGTTTACAAGATGATTAATGCTCTTTCAAAAATTGGTTACTCTTCCATTAATCTTGAGAATAAGAAACTTTACATTCAATTAGCGGATGTAATTATTTCTTGGGAAGAGAGAGCAGCTAAAAGAGACTCTATGGAGAGGAGGATGATAATGAAAAGAAACGAAAGGTCGAACAGACCGATCTATCATCCGATGACAGCGGAGTCAAAAAACGAAAGGTCGATGAAGAAACTTCACTTTCTCTCTCTCCAATTGCATCATCATCGACTCATGAATTTACTCTAAAACCTCAATCCAGAGGAATTGTTTTGAACTTTCTTATTAGAATGTGTATCTTTGTGAGCCAAACGAGATCAGAAAAGCCACAAGCTCTCTATAAGGAATGTATTCAAATTTTAAAACGTTCTCTCCAGTTGTGGAAAGATGAACCTGTTTCATTGACTCAAGCAGAAAAATTCTTCCCCAACTCGGAAGAAAGTGCACCTACGATTGGTTCATTCACACTATCTTGTATACTTGAGTTGATGAATTTACTTGTGGAAATGAATAGAGATACCATTCAGTTGAATGCTCAATTTGCCAAGAGATTAATTCCATTCCTCACTACTCCCTACGTGGATGTGAACAGAAATGTTTGCATATTTTTTAAAACACTTTTCAAACATTTCGATCCTCTCAAATCCAATGACAAGGATGTGAAAGAGTTTTATGAAACTATTTGGAATTCTGTGAAAGAAACCATTACGAAATATGCCGCTAAAGATTTGCCACAACCAGCTGGAAATCCATTGATTGATATATCTCAACATTTGGTGTATGGATCATTTGGACATTTGCTTCTCTTACATGTATTATGTGAACATTATCGCAATGATGAAATCAAACAAAACTATTCAAAACCAGTATGTTCAATGTTGGGAAAGGCACTTAAGAATGTACCGCCAGCATCTCAAGAGAGTTCTTGGAGAGAGGTTTGTTTGGGATATATTGAATTATGTCTTTCCTTCCTTGCAGATGGAGTTAATCACGAGGCAGTATTCAAACATTATGGATCATCAATCTATCAGATAATTGAAAAGGCAGAGACTTATAGTTACAATATTCTTCATCTTGTTATGGATATTGTTCTCAACTGGTTACGAACAAATCCATCCTCTGAACTACAAAGAAGTTATACCTTACAACTTGATGATGGATTACAAACAACGACACTCAGCAAACGATACAAAATACAAGATCTTCAGAAGGCGAATCTCCTTGCTCGGTTGGGTTACTTGAGTGAACAATCTCAATCGAGTGAATTGGTTAAAAATTTAGGAATTGAAAATTTCAATCAATTCAGAAGAGAGTACTTTAATGTAGTGGCTGAATTGTATCAACAAATTGATGAAATTTCAGAGATTAGTTATGCAAAGAAGATTGAGTCTTGCTTTATGGCCGGTCTAAAGATTGAATCAAAAGATTTGAGAGACATCAAATTAAGATTTATTTCTATTCTTAATCAAAGGATTGAAAAAACAGTACAAAAGAGACTTCAATTTGTGATTGATCATCAAAAATGGGAACCATTGAGTGATCGGTTTTGGATTAAGCATGCCTTAGAGTTGCTTCTTGAATCCATTGAACAAGAGGAAAAATTAACATGCCATCCCAAGATGGCTAAATTCCCACCTATTTCTACTAAACCTGTCATGACAAGTGCCAGAGGAGAATCCATTCATGTTACCTCGACTGCAGCTTTGGAGAAATTAAGAAAAATATTTGAAGATCATGAGCCATTCTTGCAATCCATATCTTCCATCAAGACTTGTAACATTATTACATCTCTCAAGACTCTAATCCGAAGCAACACGACGATGGTCTTAAAGACTTGGGGACAATTCTTTGCTTTAGCATGGAATTCTTTGAGTAATGATGAAAAACCACTCCTTCAAATTCAAATGCAAAAATTGGTCTCGATCGATTATCACTCGAAACAATACACCAAATATCCAAATGTGATCCAAGCACTGTTATTGGGGATCAACAATGCAGTGTTGAACAAAAGAGATTTATCCACATTCAACTATTTATCTATTCACCCAGAAACACTCAAATTCTTAGGAAAGTCATTCAATGCTTGGTCTCTTACTCTTCCATTGCTTGAAGAAGAACTACGTTTTCTATTTACTACTGGATCTTTTGATGAAAAGACTGAAAAAGTGTGTCATTCTCTGACTGAACTCTATAGAGTATTGAAAGAGGATGATATTCTTTGTGGAATATTTAGATGTTGTGATATTACAGATCATACGAAATTGGTGCTTTCGTTAGAGCAGAGAAATAATTGGTGTGAAGCCCAAGAAGCACTTAAAGAATTGATTAACGCTTTTCATAAAGGAAACATTAAGAAGAAAGTTTCACACACAGAGTTACAGCTGTGGGAAGATCATTGGATTATCTGCTCTAAAAAGCTGCAACAATGGGACGAATTGACAAAATTTTCACAATCTGCTCCTGGCACTCATGGTTACTTTAATTTGGAATGTTTGTGGAAAAATGGACAATGGGCACAAATGAAGGAATTGTTCCAGAAGAATCAATCTCTGGAAAATCAACTCATGAAGTTTTATCATATTTCCTATTTGATCATGCAAGACAAAGAATCAGATGCTGGAGATGTATTTGCAATTTCTCAACAACTTGCTCTTCAACGATGGTGTGCCTTACCTTCGTTTATTTGTGGAAATCACACCTCCATGTTACAATGCTTTCAACAATTGTATGAGTTGAATGAGTCTGCTTCTCTTCTTAATGACACCAAAAGACCTCTCACAACACATGAATTGAAAGGCTTTTTAACCACTTGGAGAGATCGACTTCCAAACAAATATGAGGATATTACTGTGTGGAATGACATATTTACTTGGAGATGTCACTTGTTGAAGAAAGCCATTGAAAGATTTGATCAGAAGGAAGAGTATAGTCATCACAGAGCTCTTCTTCTCAATGAAACTATTTGGTCTCTTCACAAATTTGCCAAAATAGCTCGAAAACAAAACTTTATTGAGCCAGCATTGAAGATGCTTGCAGAAACTGGAAAGCTATTACCAACGCTCACAAGTGAAACAAGTGAAGTCTTTGTTCGAATCATTGAAGTGATCAAAAGTTTAATGAAAGATAGAAGATACAATGATGTATTGGATTATATTGAATCTGACACGATTGCAAACACCAAGATCAAGACCATTCAAAAGATGGAAATTTTAAGATTGAGAGGAGAAGTATTTTCCACTTGTGGAAGATATGATGAAAGTTATCAAACATTTGCTCAATCTATTTCATACTTCCCACAAGAACAGAAATTCATTTCTTCTGTGACAAGTACACCTGCTTGGGGAAAGAGTTTCTTCCAATGGGCTCTTGTTTTGGATAAATTATTTGTAGAGAAATGGAATTCACCAACAAGACATCAACGTCAAAAGCAAAATTCAACCAAACACCCAACTCAGTCCATGACAGCTCTTGAATTTGCAGAAAATTGTGTTGCTGCCTATTTACTTGCAATTCGATATTCTGGAGGCGCTACAAATCATCAAACGATTCAAGCTTCTGGAGCTACTGTTCGACAATATATTGGTCGAGTGTTGTGGTTACTTTCCTACGATGAACCTGCTTCAAATGATAAGACCAAGGGTGGATCTAATGTTGATTATCCTCTTCATAGAGTTGCTGAGAAGTGTATTAACGATATTCCAGCTTGGATGTGGATTCCATGGCATCAGCAATTGTTCACCATGTTGCATCGAAGGGAGTGTGAAGCTTCAATCGCAAAGCAATTGTTAAAGGCCGTTTTATACAACTTCCCACAAGCTGCTTTCCATACATTTAGAAGTTTTGTTCATGATCTTCGAGAATTGTTATCAGGAATTTCTAAAAGTGTCAACCGACTGCAACTAGTACTGCTGGATCAACCAATCCATCTAGTTCAGAATCCAACCCTAACACGGCAGCTCCTTTAAGAGGTAGTAGTGCTAATATTCATGTTTCAATTATTAATAAGAGTGGAACGTCTAGTGGTGACTCAAATATTCCAGCAGGTCCTAATGCTGTGTATTTGGAAACATTTACAAAGATTAGAAGGAAACTTGACGATATCATGCATGATGGTAACAAGGTGCTGTTCAGTGATTTAGAAAGCATGTTTAAGGAGTTAACCAAATACAAATCGGAAAGTGAGGAAGAATTGACCAAATCTCTCGAATTAATGCTTGATAAGGCATATACTTTTAACATTTATGAAAACGCTGACACTATGGTAGATGAAGACTCTCAGGAAGATGACCTTCACTTTATTCCAAAGGAGTTGACAGATTATGCCAAAAGAATTGCAGATACGTACTTTGCAGATCCACCTGCACAATCTACAAATCCTCAACCTGTTCCAAAACCTCAATTTATTCTTGATTGTCAAAGCAATGTCATTACAGATATTCTTCCAAGAAAAGAAAGAAGAGACATGGCTAAATCTTTGAAATATGTTGAAAAGACATTGGATGCAGTGGGTCCAAGAAATTTATTAGAACTCACTAAAAATCTTAAACATTGGATTTGTTACTTTAGACGAAAGATTAATCTGTTACCAACTGAGATTGGAATTGAAAATCAAAAACCTAAATTATTGGAGCATAAAACCAATGTAGAATTGGAAGTACCGGGCCAATATGAGCTCACAAGTGATAGAGAGCCATTCTCAGAAAGACATGAAAAGATTCTTTGTCTGTTACCTTCTGTGAGTATGAAAGGTAGAAAGAACAAGGAGAATGAAAGAGTTATTGCTTTGAGAAGTGTCTCAGGAAAAGTTTTTAGATTCTTTATTCAATCCACAAGCAATGCTGAGCCACTTACTTTGAAAACAGAAGAAAAAGTCTCATCTTTGATAAGACACATTAATCGGTTATTGGACAAGGACAGAACTGCAAGAAGTCACAACAACATTCATATTGAATATCCTATAACTGTGACCACAAATCAAAGAATTCGTCTCGTACGCAAAGATTATGAACTCATTTCCTTGGAGGATATATTCTATGATTATTGTGAGTCTATTGGTAAATCTATTGATACTCCACTTATTAAATATTGGAAGGAAATGGACAAGGCATGCAAAACTCATATCAATGAGTTTGAGAATAAGCTCAATGTTTATCAAACCTTTGTGGAACAAAGTGACAAGATACCAGATGATATTTTGTTAAATTATATTAGAAGTATTTGTCCAAGTTGGTCTGAATTTTATAGCATAAGAAAGACATTTGGAGTACAATCAGGAGTTTATAATATTTTCAGTCATCTCTTACACACTAAGGACAGACATCCATACAAGATATTAATATCCAAGAATAGCGGACATTTAATGCAATTTGATTATAGACCTAATATGCACAAATCAAGTGGTATTATTCAAAGAGATGATCCAACACCATTCAGATTCACTAGAAATATTTCTCAATTCCTTTCTCAATTTGGTGTTGAAGGTTATTTGTTGAATACCATGTCTGCTGTTGCTTGTTCTCTCTCTGAAAATAAGGATTTATTTGAAACATTAATGCAACTATTTATTAGAGATGAATTGATCTCCTATCATAACTTTAATGTTGATCTGTTGAGCAATGAGAGTAGTACACCTACTGGAGAAAATAGATTTTTATTTAACGATGAGTTGATGAGAAGTTGCGTTCAGCAAAATGTCGACCACATTCTTGAAATGGTTAGAGAATTAGCTCCAGCCATTCCAACTCACTTAAGCTGCAATCCACCTCAAACATTACCAGTGAAGAAGAAATCAAAGAAAGATACTGCAACCTCTGAAAGTGCAACAAGTGAAGTATCAACACCTTCTTCCATCACAACTCCATCAACGCCATCCATGTCGAGCAGCGCAACAACCACTACTGCTACGTCATCAATGACTGTCACACCTTTCGCAAACGCTACCAGTCTTTTGGATCTACCACCTCTCAATTACAAGGTTTATGAGCTTATCCAACAAGCATCTTCTGCAGAAAAGTTGTGTATGAAAGATCCAATCTATTATCCTTGGTTCTAATAATATTGATCTGTATTAAACATTTTACTTTGTCGAAAAATTAAATCCTTATTCAATCCTCTTTAAATGCTTTTCAATGAAAACAATCTCCTTGGCCACATCGTCGAGCATGGTTCTTGTGAAAACTTCATCGGCGTGACCCATGTGGTGAACCTTAACGAGCTGATGACTCTTTGTGGGTTCTTTCGACTTGTTTCGAATTGCAGCCATTGTTTTTGCAACGTTCCAAATTGGGCATTGAAAATCGTCATGGCTTGCTGTCATTAATAGAGAAGGAAACTGATTTACAGAAGATGTCAGGAGAAGGTGGTAGGGTGAATATTTCATCATGGTCATGGCAATATGTATGTCTCTCTTTGGGTCTCCATATTCATCAAATTCATGCTCAGTCAATGGAAGCGAATCATCCAACATGGTTGTCAGAACATCCAAAAACGGCACTTTTAACACCAAACATTTAAACAATTGTTCAGACTCAAACATGAGATGTGTGGACATCATCAATAATCCTCCGGCACTAATTCCTCTCCCAATAAACATTCCATTTCTCGTCATGTTCCTCACATTCACCATATAATCCATGACTTGTTTGAGATCAGTCATGCTATTCATTTTGTGTTCCTTAATTCCTTGTTGATACCAAGACAAGCCATTTTCTCTACCTCCTCTCACATGTGCAAAAACAAACATGTATCCTCTTTTCAAAAAGTATTCTCTATAGAAATAGTATAATGTGTTACTCGAGACTTGTAAATCTTCCATGAGATGAGTTCCATATGCTCCATATCCCACCACAAAACATTTGCTATCAGGTTTGATTTTAGTCTTATCATAGAGTATTTTGATAGGAATGTGATTGCTTCCAATCTCTGTGCATTCACATATCAGATTCGAGTTTTCATTCGTGTGGCTACCATGTTCTAATGATGATGATGAGGATGGATTGAAAACGTTCATGAGATTATTGGTGTCAAGATCATAACTCACTTTGATAGGATCTTGATGGAGCAATGAGTGACATTTCACATTGTACCTGTTTTCGTGATATTCTAAATTTGCTCCAAGCTCAATATAGTGTGTGTCTGGAACCACGGGAAGGTATTCAAATTTGTTATTTGCAATGTCATATTTCAATAGCTTGATTAAACTATTTTCTACAATATATACCACCAGATATTTTGAGAAAATATCAATTTCATGAATGGACTGATCACTCTTGTGACGATAGATCAATGTTTTTGGGGTTTCACCAGAAGAGTTTCTCACGTCTGATCCTGAAGCTCTGTAAATATCCAAATCTGTATTTGGTGAGGAATTAGAAATGATGAAAAAAGTGTCTGTCTCTTTGTGATGTTCAAAGAAAAATTGAATTCCATTCTGTCTACTATGAAGACATGTGCGAGAATAATTTCCATTTCCATCTGAGTGAAGTAGATGTACCTCTGTTGTGTTCTTGCTGTTAATCGAAATGTATTTGAACGTATTTGCTTTAGTGCATCCAATATCAATGAAAAACCTGTCGTCATTCTCCTCAAGTATTAACTGTTCTTCAAAACTATCGAACGAATAATTTCTATAAAATCGATGAAAAATTTTGCTTGTTCTGTGTTTCTCATCCGTCGTAGTGAATAACAAACCGAATCCATTCGCTTCAGGACTCAATTCAAAGTTAGAAATATTGAGAATGTCATCAATGACGTGGAGCAGCTTTTCTCGCTTTTTATAAATACAAACAACCGATAATTGATGTCCACAACAGTTGCAGCATATTTGAGGCAATGTGAAGATTTTTCCTTCATAATTTTGTATGATAAGCTTCCATTTTTGAAAGTTTCTTGGCATTCTTTTCACATACTTTTCAATTTCGGAAGTAAACTCATGCTTGTTATAAATGACCTCTAAATTTGAATACGCAAGTGAGAGAGTTTTTGAATGTAAGGACCTCTTCGATAAATGTCTGCTTGCAAATGTTTGACAAACATCTCGGTAAAAGGACTCTGAAAAAATTAGTTCTTTGGGTATTGCACTTTTTGGGATTCTGGCAATATATTCATCAAAATTAAATGATATCAATATCCATTCACCAGCTGTTTCAATATCTGAGATTAGTAATTTTTCACTATATCTATATACATTTCTTGAAATATAATTTTGTTGCATATCTTTCAACTCTTTTTTACGCGTTTGACTTCTTCTTTATGTTCTTCAAAATAATGTTCATAATATTCCGATTCTTGATGGATATAATCTTGAAGAGCAGCTTCATTGAAGGATAATTTATAGTATGGATCATTAACTTCAAAACCATGTATTGTGTACTTTTCAGCAAGCTGTTCGCTCCTCAAAAAAGGCTCAGATATGGAAGAACTCTTTTTCTTTTTGAATAGAGAAAAGAAAGACCTTCTCATCATTGGAGGACATGTATATATACTCTGAATCATTTCATTCTTGGCCCAACTGCAATTCCGAGCTACCATACGAGCAGAACCATATCCTGCACAAGCAACAACCAATTTCTTCATTTTTTTGAATTTTTGAAGGTTGTAAATGACATCTATAAAAGCTCGGAATTATATGATCGTAAGATTATTCACATATTAATAAATATTAATAATATAATAATTAATGCATACTTTTTAATGACATTATTTTTAATCAATTTAATTCTATTATCATCATCCAGAATTAATTTGAATCCAGAAAAAGCTTTCACCTAAAGTTGTTACTCTGGAATGGAGTCTGGTTTCACAGTTACAAAAGCTTCAACTCCAAAGAACTTGGGCAGACCTAATGAGCCTAATTCTCGAGCTGTTTCAGTATTTCTGTCTTTAGCTCTCTGCCAAAACTCTCGAGCATCATCACCAGGGAATAACGCTCTATCTTTTGAGACTGATGTTTGAAAATGGCATCAATCTTCAAATCCATTTGATATTTAGTGAATGGAATAAAATAGGTAGCTTCGTCAACATCCCTATTCATTGTCAATCAGTATCAGTACACAAGTACACATGTCAAGAAGAAAATTCAAAAATGATAAGAAATACATCATGAACAGTAACATACCATTCTTGCCATGCTCCTCTGTACAACCAACAAGTAACATCTTGGACTTGGTCTCCCATTTGTTCTAAAGCAAACTTGATCGCTCTGTACACAACACGGTGAGTACCTAACATAAAGAAATAAATTTTGACACTATCACACAATGATCAATTAAACCTACCATTTGGATCTGAAAGATCAGCAGCAATAAAGACATGCTTTGGTTTTGTTGGTTAATTAAATCCTTAATCATATCAATATCTTCCTGGCCAAGAGGTTTCTTTTGTACTTTACCAGTTCTATAGAATGGTAAATCAAGGAAAATGCAATCTCTTTCTCCTTGTAATCCAAGAACATCAACAGCATCCATGGCCTCGGCTTTTCTAATATTTGCCTTCAACTTTTGAAGTAATTCACTATCTGGATCGTTCTTGTCTTGCTTTTCCAAAATTTTAGAAACGTCTTCCTTGTGAATGACTTCCTTACCCAAAACTTCACCAGTGAGAGCACTAAATCTTAAATGGTTCTTGACATTGTTTTCATGAACACTCACAGATCCATTGGTCATGTAACAAACTTTCACATTAATGTCTTTAGTGTCACGCTCTTCAGGACTCAATTTTTCTTTTCTCTTGGAAATGATACAATGCATCATGGCTCCCATACTAATCACATCATCATCAGGGTGAGGAGAGAAAATCAAAACTGGCTCATTAATGTTGTCTGGAACAATTTTAGACTCCTCAGAAGCAAATGCAATTCTCTTCATCAAATCTTGAAAAACACTGAAACACAACTTGTCAGTATGGAATTGTTCATGAGCCAACAAACTTGTTAAACCATTTTGCGCAAAGTCTTCAGATCCCAGCTCACAAATTCCCTTTCCTGTTTTCTTTGCCAAATCAATGACTGCCTTCTTTTTCCATTCAAATGTCCAATCTTTGAAATTTCTATCAATAAGCCATGGAGTTTTAACAATCTTCAACAAATTACCAGCAGCAATATCAAAATAGTAATGACAATTTGGATGAACTCGAAGGAATGTGGCTGGACAGTCGGATGGGTCTTCATATTTGAATTCCATTGCCTTCTTGACAATGGCAGCCTTTGATTCACCAGTAGCCATGAGAATAATTTCTTTCGAATTGAGAATAGTGTTGATACCTTGTGTGATGGCTTTTGTTGGAACATTTGAGATTCCTTTGAATGATTGAGCTGCATCTAATCTGGTCTTTTGATCCAATAAAACTAATCGGGTTTGATCGGAAAGATGACTATCGAACAGGAATGAGTGAATTTTTGAAGAGAATTGCGAAAGAAAAACCTACCTTCCAGGTTCATTAAAGCCAATGTGACCTGTTCGTCCAATACCCTAATAGGATTGCAAGGTGTGTGAAAAGTGAAAGGGCCGTGCGTGTGAGCACGTAAAATGAGTGGCACAGCACAACACATTGCGACACAAAGAAGGTATGTCAGTAGTGGTAGTAGTAGCGGTGGTGGTCATCAAAGGTCCGAAACACACAATTCATAGATGCAAATTTAAATCATCAAACAAACAACAACCTACCAACAATGCCAAATCAAAACCACCATATTCTCTAATCTTTTCTCATAATTCATACAAAATTCCTTTACTTGATCCTCACTCAAAGTTCCATCTGGAATATGAATATTTTCTCTCTTGATATCAATATGATTAAATAAATTTTCATTCATAAAGTAGTGATAGGATTGTTTATGAGTTGGTTCCATTGGATAGTATTCATCCAAATTGAAAGTAACAACATTTTCAAAAGAAACAAGACCCTTCCTATGTTTTTCAACAAGAGCCTTGTAAGTGAGAATTGGAGTCGAGCCTGTTGGCAAACACAACACGGTAGGCTTTTTGCTTGGTCATTCTCCTTGATGATTTGAATGATTAGATCGGAAACAGCCTCTGCCATCTCTTGTGGTGTTTTGGTGATATGGACCTTGTCCGAAGTGTAATTTACCATGAACAAGGCACTGGTATCAATAAATTGGTGTCCGCCTAACATGATTCTGATGATGAAGAGAGAAAAGGCTTTTTTTTGTTTTGGTGGGTGGTGTTTATGCAACGGAGGAGTAATAACGATGAAGGAGATGCAACACAGTAGAGGTCTAAATAACGAGTGTCGTGAAGGACGATGGCAATCTGATTGAGTCCGATGCTACTTACTGCTTGAAAATTCAATGTGGAATCATCATGTGTGTGAGTTTGGTTATAATTGATGATTCCACTTTTGAATGACGTTTGCCTCTATGATGATGATGAATTGAACCGTTATCATCTCTCTGATTTTCATTCGAGATAATAATCAAAGCATGTGAAGGAATGTTTTCATGTTGATGGACATGGTCCCATGAAAGACCTGAAAGGCTGAACGAGACGCCAACAATATTGTTTTCGAAATCGAACTCATGAGAGCATGCTCAAAGAACCAACAGGATCCCCGAGCAGCCCGCACAAACATGGACCACATGGTGCTGTGAGATGGAATCGAAAAAATAAAATCGAATTAAAATGAAAAATTAAATTTAATGTAACGTTCATAACGGTCACATTTTTGGGTACCACTTTACAAAACCGTTTTTCAATTTAACCAGTTCGAGAGAATGCTCGAGGAAAACAAGCTGAAAAAAAAGCGAACACATCATCACTACGACGGCATTGCTGCTGCTCCTGCTCCGAGTCTCACAACACCATGAACCACCTCGAACCTGAACTCTTTGCTCACTACAAGCAACTCCAAAAGGAAGAACCTGTCCTCAAGGAAAATCCACATCGTTTCGTTCTCTTCCCAATCGAACATCAAAAGGTTTGGGAGATGTACAAGAAGGCCATGGCATCTTTCTGGACTGCTGAAGAAGTGGATCTCCACACAGATATTGCTCAATGGGAAACTCTCAATACCAATGAACAACACTTCATCAAGACTGTTTTGGCCTTCTTTGCTGCCTCCGATGGTATTGTGAATGAGAACTTGTGTCAACAATTTATGGCTGAAGTTCAAATTCCTGAAGCCAGATGTTTCTATGGATTCCAAATTGCCATTGAGAATATTCATGCAGAGATGTATTCAACTCTAATTGAAACCTACATTAAGGACACGAGAGAAAGACATCGTCTCTTCAATGCCATTGATACTGTTCCATCCGTTCAAAAGAAGGCTCGTTGGGCTTTGAAATGGATCAACTCGGATAACTTGTTTGCTGAACGATTGATTGCCTTTGCTTGTGTGGAAGGTATCTTCTTTAGTGGATCTTTCTGTTCCATCTTTTGGATGAAGAAGAGAGTTTGATGCCTGGATTGACCTTCTCCAATGAATTGATTTCTCGAGATGAAGGATTACACACGGACTTTGCTTGTCTCTTGTATTCCATGCTCAAATATACCAAATTGCCTCAAAAGGTTGTACATTCATTGGTCAGTGAAGCTGTTGAGATTGAGAAGGAATTCATTCGAGAATCTCTCCTGTGGACTTGATTGGTATGAATTCTCGTCTCATGCAACAATACATTGAATTTGTTGCTGATCGATTACTTGTCTCGATAGGATATGATAAGGTTTACCTTGTCCAAAATCCATTCGATTGGATGAATATGATTTCAGTGTCTGGTAAGACGAACTTCTTTGAGAAGAGTTGGGTGAATAATGCAAAGAGCAAACATTATGTCACCAAAGAGAGAAGGTCTTTAGATTGGATGATGATTTTTAAATTGTCGCAACGACAGCAGCTCCTTTCCAATCTTTTCCAAAGACCCATCTCTGCCCATCCTGCCAACAACAACAACAACCCTTCTCTCACCCCCAACACAGCAACACACTAGGCCTCCTCTTGCTTTCAACTAGTTCGGATCCGAACTCTCTCTCTACCTTATCAGCACTCTCATGACATCCATTTAAATACTGGGTGTATTAGTGGTGTCCATTGTACATAAATAAATTCTGAATCCTTATCAATAAATTCTGCAAAAATTTGCGAGTGACCTTTGTTTGGTTTACCTTCAGCAATCGCAAATCCTAAATCTTGAAGAGCACAAAAGAACAAGAACACATTAAAGGCGAAATGGCAATTCAAGACAGATAATTTTGTGGATGCAATCGAAGGTCTTAAAATATCTTGATACCGAAACCGTTGCAGAAGCCTTTTAAAGGCACTTCCCAATTTCCAAATTTTCGATTTCAACATTCAGGGCAACCAAATGTAAAATTATTGCAAGCACAACACACGAGGATATGATCTCAGAGAAAAATCCTGAAGAAGACATTGCGTTTGTGGAGTATGGTTGGATAATTTCGGAAGAGTCCGTATTGTCCTCTTCATGCATTTGTCCAAAAACATGATCCCATAAAGATGCAGTCGTGCCATTCTTCAAACTGAAGAACAACAACAACAACACAAAAAAGAGTCGTTTTGAAAGCAAGCAATAGATCTATTACTTGCTCACGAGACTATCCGAAGACTGCTTCAGAGCACCTGCATCTTCACCTCGTTGCATCCTCTCCAACTTGAGGTCTTTTCAAAACCTCCAAGAAACCTTCTTCTCGAATTGTGGTGCAAGTATACCTCCATTCCTTCGATCCTTCACCAACTCAGAGCTTCCTTCCCCACCATGCATGCTCAAAACGTCTTCAAGTCCATCTCAAGAGATGATCCAAGGTG